CTTCTTGAAATCCATTGTCTTTATTTTGCTGTTCTCCCTCCGACCATTCCTTAGAATCATGAACTCTATCATTTTATGATCACTTTCACCCAAGCTGCCTTCCACTTTCAAATTCTCAACCAGTTCTTCCCTATTTGTCAATATCAAATCTAGAACAGCTCTCTCCACCTTCTGAAATAAAAAATTGTCTCCAATACATTCCAAAAACTTATTGGATAAACTGTGCCCTGCTCTGTTATTTTCCCAACAGATGTCTAGGTAGTTGAAGTCCCCCATCACCACCAAGTCCTGTGCTTTGGATTATTTTGTTAGTTGTTTAAAAAAAAAAGCCTCATCCACCTCTTCTTCCTCGTTAGGTGGTCTGTAGTAGATCCCTACCATGACATCACCTTTGTTTTTTACCCTTTTATAATTTTATTGGGGTTAATCAGTATATCAGGATGTTCTCTAAATACTAATAAATCAGTTGCTGGAGTGTTTCTTTTGCTCTGGAAGAACCTTTCTAATGGCTTGGTGGCCTGACCTGAAGGGTGGTGCTTAGTCCTGCAGTATCCAGCAACAACACTGGACCACTCCAAATTCCTTGGAGTGGGGGGACATTAACCCATTAGGGATAAATGGGGAGAGAGATGGCTAGCAGAAAGAAAATGATCAGGTAAGAAATTTCTCATTCACTTTCCTGAGAGATCAGCAGAAAGAACTTGTGTTTAGTGTTTCATTGAAAGGCTGTCAACAGTTCAACACACCTTTTTAGTTCTGCACCATAGTATCTATAATAAGTATGAGCCCATATGCTGAGGAGGAACTTTGAAGTCACCTCCTGGACCCAGATGTGAGAGGGTTTCTCAGTAACCGACATTTTGAAAAATGCCAGTGTAATATGTGACTAAGATAATGTCATTTTAAGTTGATATAATTTAAACTTTACATTTTTTTTGTATATCTGCTTGTATACTAACTGTATACTCTAATGTATTTTTGTAGTGAAATTGCAAATGCCGAATTCCTTCTCATGGAGAGTTTATATTATGAAGATTTTTTGATGAAACTTTCTCCTAAAGAATGGCAAGAAGAACAGAGAACAAAAAAGTTGAAAGCAAGAATAGACAAACAGAGAGAAAGAGAGATCATGCAAAGAGAAATGATTACATGTGCTTTCACTCCACACCAAGAAAAAGAAAGTGCACGCAAAGAGAAGATAAGTTCTTCAATTCCACGCCAACCACGCCACGGTTCTATTTTTTTAAAGCAAAGTATGTGTCTGAAAATATAAAGCACAATCTATATAAATGTGGTTAAGGCTGAAAATTTAAACACACACAAGTCAGGACTTTCAAAAATGAAGTGATCAGATGCTGATTCCATTTCAGCATTGCCAACTCTCGTAATTTTACCACAAGTTTCCACAGATTGTATGAGAGCTCGGCTTTCAGTTTTTAAAAAAGTAAGTTTCTAGCCCTCATGGTTACAGAGAAAAGCTTGAAAAAAAATGAAGCAAGTGCACCTTAAAGACTCAGAAACCAGAAGACAAATAACAAGAACCCCAAATTTATTACCTCTTTTAAAAAAAAGTAATGATTTTTAAGCTAGTCTCATGATTTTGGGGTCTTGACTCATGATTTTTTGAACATGTAGGGTTGACAATTCGGGGTAAATAGTGTGGCTGACATAAGCCCCCATTAGTGAGTTGTGTCTTTTGAAGCCTGATGTTTAGGCTAGCTTTCTAAAGTGAATGTTTACTTTTTTCTAGATGCCTCACTTAGGCCTTGTTTACATTAAAATTTTAATTAAAGGTGTATTTTTAAATTGATTTAGTTAAAGCAGTGCAAACCTCTGTGTGAATACTCAAATTAATTTAAACCTGTCTTGCATTGATTTAGCTTAATCTGTTAAGGAATCTTCTAAATCAGGTTTAAATCAGTATAAGAAGTGTCTACACAGGGGTTTGCACCAGTTAAGCTAAATCAAATTAAAAACTGATTTTAGCTTAAGTAGTGCAAGTTCTTGTGCAACCAAGACCTTACTGTTAAAGGCCATTTCCCGTATTACTATTTGTTTTTCCCTGTAGCAGTTGGAAGAGCTTTCTTGCTTAAGCTGTACCTCAGATAAAAAGTTCCTTTACGTTATTCTTTATTTAGATCCCATTATATTCTCCACTTGCTTTCACAGTAAATCAGAGCAGTAACTTTGTTGTTACTGTCAGTCAAGCCACATTTCTTTTAGTAAAGCTCTTCAGTTATAGTTCTGTTTATATCTTTAGATAGAATCTATACAGCAAGTACAGACAGGCGCTTCAGTTCCTTTGAGAAAAGTGCTGGACACAATAGGAAAGCATCAACTCTAAGTGAGAGTTGTCACCTGAAAACAGCGGTGCATGATAACAAAGGTATGAGGTCTATGCAGTAGGGTGGGGAAGGTATTCCTGTTCACTGATGGTAAAATTCACACAGTCATGGAGGGTTCATACAAGGTCCTCCCCTTAGTAGGGTTGTGTCTGTGAGGAGCAGGGGCAGAGGGTGCATAGATGAAGCAGCCGGAGATGTGAGTGCACACTACAAAATTAAGTCAACCTAAGTTAAATTGACGTACAGCGATCGCAGTACTTACTGTGGTGCTTCCTGTCCACACTATGCCCCCTCTGTCAGTGGTGTGTGTCTTCACCAGAAATACTTCCACCAACTTAACGGTGTGGGGCACTGACAGCTGGAGTCCCCACCCCTGCCCTGGGG